ATTCAGACATACATAAGCATTTCTCAACTGTTTTAACAAAATCTGTTTAAAATCTGTTTTCCCGTTAACCAGCTGTCGCACCCATACGAACGACAACACTCAGAAGTCGAAACTTGTGCGAGCTAAGGATTAGCGAGGTCTTACCTTTTAACGTGTGATGCCTAACACGTTTCTAACATAATACATATATAAATAATGTAGGTCCCAATTTCAATCTTTGGAAAACTCCTACTATGTATGAGGAGGATTGAATACTTACGGTAACATGTTAATCGAATGCTGTCTTCAATATTCAAATCTTTGCTGCACAGTTCGCATATAGAGTTATAATCACTGTCTTGTAACCACTGCAAGTAGGACTGGACAACACACTGGAATTGGACAATTTGAGTACATTACATTTATGAACTGTACCAAGTGGTATTATACAAATGTTTAGTATCTAGGTGATATATGTTTTGTAAAGAGTTGAAATAATAAACAATTTTGGACTAATTAATTTTAATCCTTCTTTCTCATTTTACTAGGTATTTCTAAAAGGTTATATCCCAGACCACAAATGAGTAACTGTGTAACAGAGTTCAGCATTAGAAAAAAAAATGTACTGGGAAAGCTAATAAATTTGGAGAAAATTGAGACGCTTCTAGTTGTCATTGTCACACTGGTTTTACTTTCTGAAGAAAATGTAAATTCATCTTTGATATTATACTGATTTCTTCTAAATGATCAATCTCCTTTTCAACTTTTTTCTGTGAACTGGTTGAAAATGGCTGTACGATTTCGCCTGTATAAGTTTTTAACCTTGATTGGTTACTCAAATGCTAACTTTGCAGATAATTTAGATTTCAGAAAGTCAACAATCGGGTACTTAACATATATAGCTGGAGCTTCCGTGACATGAATCTTTCATCTTCAAAAACTTAGTTCACGATCAACTACAGAATCCGAATACATTACAGCTTCAGAGGCAACACAAGAAGTCATGTGGCTTTAAATATTTATACAAGACGAAAAATGAGAAATAAAACTTTCAATGTTTTTTTTAAACACTCATAGTTGTAACTAACATTACTGCAGTTTTGTCCTATAAGGATATTTCCAATTTTCAAACGTTCAGCGTTCAGCCTATTCCCAAAAAGGACAAGAAAAATCATCCAAATAACTATATACCAGTTGCTATGCTATCAGTGATATAATAATGGAGAAAGCCGTAAACCTCCATATCCTTAAATATTTGGAACGCTTCAACATCTTGTGCGATCATCAATATGGCTTTGGGAAACAAAGATCAACAGGCGACCTTATAACGTATGTCACCCATATTTGCAATAACGCAATTGAGGAACATTGGAAAATCAAAAGTTGTTCTGCTTGATATTTATAAGATCTTTGACCATGTGTGGCATAAGGGTTTGCTAGCCAAACTTTGATGTTATGACTCATCAGATCATTTCTGTGTATGGCTCTCCAACTTCCTGAAAAACATTCCCTGCGAATAATGTTTGGACAGTCAATTCCGCTTTCTGCTTTGATGTTAAACTCTTTTATTTTGAGAACTGTGTTTACGTGTAATAAACTTCCTGAGAACGTTTTTCCGAATGGAAATGTAAATGCTACTTTCGCACAGGCACTGTTGTTAGAGCGCCTTAAGGATTTTCCTATAGTGCTTGTGTTTTTACTTGAAAGAAAAATTGTTTATTGTATTCGTTTCAAAATGCAGTAACATTAGTTACAAATACAAGTGTTAAAAAAACAGAAAGTTTTATTTATCATTTTTCATGATCTCCTATCACATAGTAACAGCTATCCATCAATTTATTTTTACACGAACTTGGCATTTCAAGTGAAGTATCTTTGAAACTTTTTGTAGAGTAGCTGAAACACTGAATATGACGAACTAAGCATATCAATGTAAGGTGTCACTATGTAGGTGAATGTGCTTGAAATGGTTTTCAACTGTCTGCCTGTTCCTTCACAAGGTCAGCTAGCTGATATTCTTAGACAGTTCCTTCCAAGAGAGGTTTGTGAAGAACCGAGAAGGCTTTTTTATCGTATAAAACAGTTATCAAAGAGTGGGAGTGTTGAATTTATACGCTTTGCCAGCTGGTTTTACACACAATTTTTGTTAGAATCTAGGTGTTAGATGCTTTGTAAGGAGTTGGAATAAATAGTTTTGGTTAGGTTCAATTTACTCGTTATTCCAAACTATACTGGCTATTTCCAAAATTAGGATATATTTTGGATATGTAGTATAATATGATGAGTTACTTACAATGGGGTGGTTCGTTACCATACAGTTTTCGCAAACACAAACTCTATGTTCAAAACAAAATTGGTTCGTTACACGTCGTTTGGGGCACTTGCACAAACCCATCGTAGATTTTGTGTTAAATTGAAAGCCCTAATACTCTTACCCCAATGTGAATTTCATCACATTCAAAGGTAAAGTAAAAGGCTTCAAAATGTTCTAAAATTATTTATTTTGACAACTCTAATGGACACATCATACACGTCATAATTTCTACTTCTTTTTTATACTTCAAATATCTATCATGTGGTATATAGCCAGTATTTTTCGAGTTGTTACCTTTGTAATAATTCTAAAACTATTTGATACAATCTATAAAAGTAGGTACTGAATTCTCAGAAATATTATTGCATTGAAACGAAAACAATTCCGCACGCCTATGTGAGAGACAGATTAAGGCAAACTCGTCAAGTCACTTTTAGAATTTACTGGCTACTATTTTGGAATGATAATATAGTTAGCTATTACGCACACATAAAAATCTATTACCTTTTCATTCATTCAACTAACCAGGTTTTATAATATAGACGACTCCCTAAATTTACCAAATGATTTAATCTCTCCAACAAGGGGATCAAGCATTACCATATCTCAATTGGAATTCCTTCAAAGAGTAGTTGACTGATATTGCTGCTGATACACCAAGTTTATACGTCAACATTTTTACTGAAAATAATCCAGAGGCAAGTTTTCTCTTCATATTGTTGATATGATTATCAAATATCAATTTATTATTGATAAATATTCTTATGAATTAACTTAAATGAAATCCGCAGCTTTCTGTAGAAATCTGGTAATTCCTTCTGACATTCTATTTTCCTGGAAAACTAGTATTTTTTCGTAAGTATTCAACTAACAAAAATTCTTTCCGGGGAACAACCCTGCATACAGCCAATATTAAAACGAACCAGTGTTGGGATCGCTTGCACAATGAGGTCATTTGGGGTTCCGACTTGAATGAACAAGCGGCACCATTTCCTCAAAATATCTGAAAGCCAGCATTTTCTTCATTTTATATTTCTGACAGAATGAGTAGAGAAATCAAAGATTACAACAGAATATTTTTCAAAAAAGGTATAATAAAACCTAACATGAATTCAAATCTAATTACAGAACTAAAATCATTCTCATAATAAAGTAAATAAAGAATTGATTGATTCATATTTATTTTGTTCATTAAATGTCACTATCGCGTTTAACGGTTTTCATTCACTCAAAATTCCAATAATTCCACTACAAAAATAACAGTTCCCACTTTTTTTAGCAGTCATTCCATGATAAATTCTAGCGCCGTCACTAGTTAATTATAGTCGAAGTAAACGGCACTCTCAAAGGCCAAGAAAAAACCAATACATAGAAATGAACCGGCATCAAACGTGTTACGGTTTCAAAATCACTACCTCAATTTTCAGTAAACCCCCAGTAGATTTTATAATGGAGAAAGGGAAAGTCTATAAAATTCCACATAGTTCATAGTTTACTTAAAATATAACAAAAATATTTCATTTCGTATTACGATTTATTATGACCCTGTATATGTCAGGAATATGAAACGAGTCTTCGTATCTTTACTGGAATCGGCAGATTAACAAAGTTTATTTACAAGATATCGTTTTTTTTTCTAAATAATTCATCTGTCTTTTATGACAGTTCATGTCATTTCGACATTTGAAAACTTCAGAAAGAAAACGTCTCTTCCTTCTTTTCTTGGTTTTGGACCAGACACGGGAGGAACATCGCAATTTTGCGGATTTAAAAGAAGGTTTCAAAGTATTCCTGAATCGACAATTGATTTATCTTAAGGAAGATAATCAATTATCTACTGTCGTAGGATTTATGTAGGAATTACTCGAAACTTTCAAATTGAAGTTTACCTTGTCGAAAAACTCGGATATCTCAAAGGCCACACTCCATCTCAGGTACGAACAAACATTTTGTTTTTTTATTGATACGACCTTCTTGCTTGCAAGAAATTATGTTCAGACATGTATGAATTTTTAGGCCTCATTTTCCATTTGCCTGTTCGTTGCTAACTGATAACGCCCATAAAATGTCCCCAACTTTGAGAATAGCGGTTGGCAAATCCCCAATTCTTGGACAGCTAGATGACTCACCACATAGCGACATAAAAGTGGATAATCGTAAGATTCATGTCCCAAAGAAGGTAATATTGTTCCTTTTTATCATTGATTTGGGCCTGAACGGAACGCATTGGCATCACAGGAGTAACACTACCACTTCATCTAGCTGAAAAGTACCTACTTTTACTTAGTTTCGATTACATTAGTTTAGTGTATTGTGTTGAAATTTTAAAACCTTTGCTACCTATGAGCAACTGTAAACCGATGGTATGCATACTAGAGGGTACATAATTTATCAGTTGAATTAGACAACGAAGAAAGCATTGTGACAAAATCCTTCATTTTAATATCATTTATTTTTCATTGTGAATAAATCAAATTTTATAGATTGGTCACGAAATTTAGAACTGACAATCTTCGTTACAATTTTTCTTTACCTTCTATTATTGTTAAAAAAATAACTGTCTTTCTTTATATTTGACCGACGCTCTCTTTCCCATAACTTTCATCAATAAAAGATTCGCAAATTAATTTACCCCTTTCTTCTTTCTTTATACCCACTCCCGTCTCCACTGTTGAAAAACTGGTAGGGAATTTGTGGAGGTTATAAACGTGGACTGTAGATTTGGCGGTTCGTATTGGATAATTTTTACTAATCAAGTTTTATGATTGGTTGAAGAGTCATAAAATTAAATTTGAAGTCATGTTACGATGACGAATAGAAATCGGAAAGGTTATCGTCGTCGTGTTTAATTCAGGAACTGATCGCGATTTGAGTCTTATAATTCGATATTGGTGCAGTTATACTTAAAATTTTTGTTATCTGTTCAAAATGTGGCGTCCTTGGACAAGTACTAAGAGTAATAACGAGTGTGATAACAACGCAGACTTTTTCCAGTGTAGTGATTCCAATAGCGATGGTGAATAAGGCGAAAAAGAGATACAAGTAAATAAGATTCGGATGCATTTGATTATTGAAACACAGAGTTTTTTTTTATTTAAATTGTTTATTGTCCCTTCAACCATTCAGGTTATTAGATACGGCATATTACATGTCATAGTAAATATAAAACTGTGAATAAATAGATACAGTTGGTCTAATATAATCTAAATTTCATTGACTAAACCAATATCAGTTAGGTAACCTATAAGCTGGGAGGGATTGCAACCTTCCTTCAAAAGTTCGTCGAGAGTTGAAGGAAATCCATGTAGTTTTCGATGTCGATTGTAAGCTTCGCACTCGATTAAAATATGTTTCACTGTTAGGGGGCAGTAGCATATTTCGCAGGTTGGTTCTTGGGTTTTATCGATCAAGTGGGAGTGTGTGATGCGGGTGTGTCCAAGGCGTAGTCAAGTGACTATGGTTTCTTTTCCGGAAATATATTTTTCGAGGGAGTACGGTCTTTTTCACTTCAGCCAATTTCGATTTGGAGAGGTTCCATTCAGCTTGCCATGCATTGATAATCATCTCTTTGAATATTTGTTTGAGGTCAGATTTGGCAGTTTTGGTTATTGTGTTACGAGGATCGGATGTGAGGGATAGAGTTGAGATATTACGGTCATTGCGCTGAGGGAATCTGTAATGATAACTGTTTTTCCATTGTCATGGGACCTTGTATATTCTAATGCTTTGAGGATGGCAATTAGTTTTCCCGAAAAAACTGAGGAGGCCTTAGAGAGCTTGTGGCATGAGTTATATCCGGACGCGGTGATAAAAGTTGCGGCACTTCCATTTCCTGTTTTTGAAGCATCTGTGTATATGTGATTATATTCTTAGAAGTGACTCATTATTTGATGGAAGTTTTTCTTGATGACTGTTTAGTTTGTTTCGGTTTTATTGAAACGAATTAATGATATGTTACATTCTGGTAGCTTTATTGTCCAAGATGGAGGTGTAATAGTTACACTTGGGTAGGTGTCTGGAAATTGGAATTGAAGTGTATGAAGGTATCTCCTCAGTCTTTCATAGAATGGAAGATCTGCATTTTTCTTCTGGTTATACACCGTTTTGAATCGGCCAGAAAATACATTTTGATAAACAGGGTTATTTTCATTAGTAGATATCATGGATGCATAACTGAGACTAAGATATTGCCTTCTGTAATATAATGAGGGTTCACCGGTCTCGCAATGCAGGCTGGTTACGGGACTGGAGCAGAATGCTCCAGTGGCGATTCTGATTGCTGTGTTATGAATGACATCAAGTTCTCTCAAAACTGATTTTTTAGCGGAGTTATAAACTATACACCCGTAGTCAATTTTGGATCGTATCAATGCTTTATATATTCACATCAGGCATATGTATTCTGCTCCCCAACTTTTGTTTGCCAGCGTTTTCATGAGGTTGAGCCCGTTTGGCAGGATGATTTCATATTTCTGATATGCGTTTTCCAATTTAATTTGCGGTCAAAAGTCATACCTAAGAATTTCAAATTGTCAACATATTCCAGCGAGCTCGCATATAGTTTCAGTTCTGGCTCACGCTTAGTTTTCCTTTTGGAAAAAAACATACATTTGGTTTTTTGTGGAGAAAATTGTAGTCCCACTGAGTCCGATCAATCTTTAATGGAGTTTAGCGCTCTCTGTAGGTTGTATTGCATCGAGTGGATGTTCTTACCTTTCATAAACATAACAAGGTCGTCTGCGTAGAGTCTTGCTTTGACTGGTTGATTGCCGTTGTTTAGTATTTGGTTAATCGCTACAAAAAAAAGTGTTACGCTGAGAACAGATCCTTGTGGTAATCCGTTCGGCTGGGTTTTCATAGATGAATTGATACCGTTAACGCGTACTCGGAAATATCGATTTTTGAGATGTTTCCTTTAATATTCCATGTATGTAGAGTTCTGATAATGTCATAGCGCCAGGCTGTGTCATATGCTTTTGATATATCGAAGAAGACAGCTATACATTCTTGCCCGTTTGCAAAATCTTCATGGATGTAGGATTCTACATCCACTAGGTTGTCAAGTGTGGATCTGTTTTTGCGAAATCCACTCTGTTCAGGTATGAGTAAATTATTCATTTCTAGATACCACATAAGTCTATTATTATTATTTTTTCGAGGATTTTGCACATAACACACGTGAGAGAAATTGGTCGATAAGATTCTGAATCAGTTTTTGCTTTC